TATTGAAGAACAGGTCTTTGTGTTTTTGTTATTTTGTCTCTGAGCCATCATGGTATAATGCTTTTTAAAAATACTATGAAATGTAACATTTTAAACATAAAATTAGAAAATATATAAAATCAGACTTTCATTTTTAACTTCAATAGGGATAAAACAATACTTCCACATTTCTAGAAAATTCATAACAGTTACACTCAGTTTCTCATTGTGGACTGACCCAGGCTCACGGATCATAGCTTTATTACCATAGTTGTAGAATGCGTCGGTTTCCAGGCTTCTAGAAGATTCTTTAGGTTAGCTAAAGAATAATTAATAATAACATACAATACGAAATTAATAACTTTAAATGTTCTCAGTAGACTCCATTCACTTGTGATATATCATATCTATTATTTTCCATATTAAGACGAAAATAACCCCTGGTCTAGTTAGTTTCATACATGTTGTCCAGTCTACTTTCCTTTAGCTTGCCTTTTCTTACACGTAAGTTTAATTGTGGAAAGTAACAGAGCTCACACTTTGTTGCTGTTGTTCCTTCTGCAACTTACAGATTGACCTTCTTGTGCACCGCAGTTCATTAAGTTGCTCTTGGTCTAATTTGTTATTGGAAAGTCAATTGGCATTGGGCATGAAGAATTGAAGATCTGACAGGAGATGGTAGAGGATCAGGGATTAGCTAAGGTGAAAGACAGAACAGTGACTCTAATAATGTCTTCTGTATCTTCTAAAGGACTTCTAATGTTCACTTCATGATCATCCCATAATGACTGTTAAAAGATAGTGACACTGAGATCCTAAAACTGAGCTCACTTAATGTCAGAATCCTCAGTGTCATGCCAGAATTTGATTGGTAGCCAGTCCATAGCCTTGCCTAATTTTCTTGCTGAAAATCAGAGGAGTTAGATTGTTACCTCATTGGTTCCAAATTCTGGATTGCAGCATGTGATTTAGCTCCCTTTTGGTGGGGTATATGAAATATATAGATAAAATATATAAATGTATTTGTTTCATATATAAATTATATTCCTTAGACTTCACACAAAATATCCTAGTTCAAGAATCTGAAATGGAGCTGAGTTTTGGGACATCACAAATCCCCAGTGCCATTCTGATGTGTAGTCATTTTGGGAAACTAATACACTATTGGATGAACTTTTTGATAAGCAGGATAATTTGGCACAAGACACCTTTTCTCAAGCTAGCCTTCATACTCACTAAGAGAATTTGGGGGGTAATAGGACTTTGGAAAGGCCAGATCTAGCAAAAGTAGTGGCTCGTCAGCCAGATTAAGGTCTTCCTTCTGTGTGTCTGAAGATTTGGGCAACCACATATATGAGTGTGGCCTATAAAGTTCTCTCAAAGATTTAGTAATAGCTTCTATTATTTAAATGTAAAAATTGATGCAGGCATGTGTGCAGATTTTTTAATGTCTCCAGATGTAACCTGCAAATCTTTCAGTTCCGCATTTGTCTCTGCTTCATCTAGTATTTCTAAGCTGGTTTTATTTTTATTTCTTTATTTTTTGGTCTTAAGCTTTGCCTTCTTAACTATGTCTGCCACTGGTTTATTGAGTTATTGGCATCTCTTTTAACAAAACTGATTTCTGGAGCCAATAATCTGGTTAGCCTAGCCTTTGCCACAAACTGGCCTGCTGACACTCTTTAACACACCATCAAATTTGTTGTTTATTTCCTGCAACTTTCCTAAAAGTGTACCTATCTGAAGAGCAAAAATATTAACATTTTCTTAGTATCTGGACTCACCAAGAGGGTATTAAGTTTCTTTTTTATTTTAAAAATTTTTTAATGTGTTTTTTTTTTTTTGATAGGGGTGGGGAGGGGCAGAGAGAGAGGGACAGATAGAATCCCAATCCATACTGTCAGCACAGAGCCCGACACAGGACTCCATCTCATAAACCACGAGATGATGAGATGATGACGTGCCTTGGAATCAAGAGTCAGAGCTCAACCTACTGAGTCACGCAGGAGCCTGTGGCGTTAAGTTTCTGCTCAACTTGTCTAAACTTTAGAGAGCCTTCTGTCTGTCTCCAGCCACCCTATCTCCCAGGCTGTGTGGGAGGGTAGGAGCCTAACTGTAGTGGGTGCTATGATCCAAGTTTGGAACAATCTTTAGTAAGTTTACTTTTCCTTTGGATAAGGCCTATTAGCACACATAAATGCTTGTGATCCACCCACCCCATTACTATGAATTGAGTAAAGTCATCCTTGCCTGTTTAACATTGTCCTGCATAATTTTTCCTTTGATTGGACCGTTTTTGTCATATGTTGATCTAAATATTAGAGGATACTACAATATTCCAGCAGTAATTTAAAGATTACTAAAAAATATAAAAGCCTTTCCTTAAAATCATTGTTTTTGTAAGTTATTTTATAGTGTACAGTATATCAAACTATAGAATATTATTTTATAATACACATAAAATAATGTATGTATAACATAATAATAGAATACACATATAATAACTTTTCTTATTATACACATGATGAAATATAATTAAATTTGTATGCCAATGAAATAATATTCCAGATATATTTCTAAGTACCTATTCTCCCTTTTCTATATTCACAGGCCTAGCTTAATAGAATATGTTCTATTTTTTTCCATTTCACATTTGTCATATTATATTGCATTAGTTTTTGCCATATGATTCTTCTGAGATGATGTCCATCATATTCTTTTATGTTCTATAATTTCATAAATATCTTGGCTGTTTCAATTTTTAACAGACTTGGTTCAAATGATAAAGGACTTAACTCTATTTTTTTGACATTTTAACTTGCTTTTATAATATTCTAAAGTGAGAATTGAAAAAAAATCAGCCATATATTTTATACACTTCTTGATTTTTTGTGAAAATTTATAATTGTTATTGACTGTATTTTTCAAAAAGAGTATCCATTATAAACTCAAATAGAATTATATAGTAATTATGGACTCTGTCATAATCACATAGTGAATAATAGGAGATTTTTATAATCAAGATAAATTATAATTGATTATTCATCATCTTAACACATTCTTACTGATTTGCCACCAGAATGCTTTAAAAACTATCTTTTACTTTTAATTCAAAATAGTAAGACTTAAGTGTTATATCTTAAAGCATTAAGGCTATATTATTTAATGTAAATTTCTGGGCTTTTTTCTCTTTTCCCTTCATATTAACTAACTAGCTGTAGTTTGATCCATGGCAATGAACTCTTATCAGTGTACCCTTACCGAGTTTAACACAAATAAAAGTTTGGTTTAAAAGGTAGACAGATAAGATGAGGAATTTTAACTGTCTTTTGCCATAAATGACACCTCAATCAAGTTTGATGCTTAGGTTAAAGAAATAAGAGCACAGGGAGGTCAAGTAAGTAGTCCAAAGTTGCAATGTTAGAAGTTGGCTTATCAAGGGGCGCCTAGGTGGCTTAGTCGGTTAAGCGTCCGACTTTCGCTTAGGTCATGATCTCGCTGTTCGCGGTTCGTGGGTTCGAGCCCCGCGTCGGGCTCTGTGCTGACTGCCAGCTCAGAGCCTGGAGCCTGTTTCAGAGTCTGTGACTCCCCCTCTCTCTGATCCTCCCCTGCTCGTGCTGTCTCTCTCTCTCTCCTAGAAATAAATAAAACGTTAAAAAAAAAAAAAAAGAAAAAGAAAAGAAGTTGGCATATCAAGGACCTGACTCGGGATCTCTGTGCACCGTGGTCCAAGCTTCTAACACTAGGCAGAGCTCCCTCCTTACTAAGCTGCATGGAAGTGAATATGCATTTCCTTTCTCTACTCGCTAGAGCATTATCTTGGGTATTCATATATTCAAGATCCAATTTGCTCTATCCTCGTGATCATTTTCCACAACTAAAAACTACTGATCTTAGGAAAATCTCCCTGTGTGATACATAGTGCTGTAACTTAAAGTGAAATGTCACAATTCAGTAGTCTGTAATCAAAATCAGATCTTCAGTTTTAAACTTTAAAATGTTGATGTGCTTGGAGGTGACAGTATGGCTGGAATTTGAAGGAATAGACTTCATGTATTTTGAACACTGTTTTTCTCTAATCCCAATTTCTCCTTAATTTTACATTGCTTGATGCGTTTTCTGCAGCTCTCTCACCCCATCTCAGCATAGAGTGGAGGGTAAGCGGTCCCTGAAGCTGGTGGTATTCCCATTCTTTAAATTAGCTGATTATGGGCTGAGGTAGATGTCATTCTCTCTGAGGTGTGGAACTTCCCTCTCTAAAATGACCAGTCTCTACAGACCAATTAAGCAAAAGAATGCTGAGCCGGCTTCTGACAGGTAAGCTCTCAAAACACACAGCAACTGTCAGGCTATGTACCTCTAAGCAATTTCTGTGAGAGAATTTTCTGAAAGGTTGAGCTAATGGGTTTGAGTACAGCTGTGCACACTGTTTTGCAGAGCCAGCAAAACTAAAGAAATGTATGTTTTTGCCAGTTTCCTAGAATAGCGATTCTCTGCTTTCATAAACAAGACCTTGTAGAAATGCAAAGGATTCCTCCATTCCTGAAGACTGCTTTTCCTTTGGGGTAAGTGACAGTTTTGAACTCAGACCACCACGTGGCCTTCAGAGGCTTAAACATAAAAGTGTGAGTCAAATTTTATTGAGTAGATTTGGCGAAGCTTGTCCTTTTATCCTTTTCCCCAAGCTTGTATTTGCTTTGCAGGGGACATTCTCGGGAATCTTTTCTGCATAATGATACCTGAAATGCTGTCACCACTGATCGATCTCAGACTTCTGTGAAAAACTGTTACGTATTACTTGAGAGTCAAACCGCATACATTTTCTTTACTTAACATTGACTTTATTTAAGTATAGTAAGTGGATTGAACCTAGGTTTCTGAATCTAACAGACTTGGAGGACAATGCTGAGTTCAGCCCCCTGATACTTGAGTGTCCCTGGCTAAGTTAGTCAGCCCCGTCTTATTAGCCCTGTGATTCTCAATTTTCACTCACAGACTGTGGTAACCACATGTGCTCACGTGCTTGCAATGTACCTGAGGAGTGCCTGGCTGATCCTGCATGCTCAGTGAGTGAGTTTCCCTTCTCCATCTCTCTGCACACTTCTGAAGAATAAAATCAGTTTTGAAATTTTTTAAAAGATTATTTTTGTAAACATTTTTAAGCTTATTTATTTATTTTGAGAGACAGCATGGAAGCAGGAGGGGGCAGAGACAGAGACAGAGACAGAGGCAGAGACAGAGACACAGAATCCCAGGCAGGCTCTGCACTGTCAGCACAGAGCTCAACCTCATGAGCCGTGAGATCATGACCTGAACCAAAACCAAGTGTCAGATGCTTAATGGACTAAGCCACCCAAGCGTCCCCTTAAAGACTATATTTTTAATGGAAGATGCCACTGAGTTTTCCAACCATACTCCATTTTTCACTGATATATGACTGTCTTTCACTCGGGGAAGAGCATTGTTTTGTACTAATCTGATCCATGAACTGCCTTTCAATGGCCCATGACCATAGAATGATTTTTACGTTTCTTAATGCAGAATTTCTTTAAAATGAGAATAAATGTCTTATGACACATGCAAATGCGATGAGATTAAACTTTGAGTGTCCATAAATATAGTTGGCACACAGAGATGCTCATAAATTTAGGTATTGTGTATGGCTACTTAAGTCCCACAACAAGCTGGCTGAGTAGTTGCAGTAGGAATCATGCAGTTTGCAAAGGCTAAAATATATAATACCTCGCTTTCTACAGATAAAGTTTACACACCCATGGTCTAGAATATTAAATAAGATCATGTCAGTATGTTCTAACGACTTCACTGAATAAGTCACTGCTCAAAAAATATCAACTTTGATATTAAAACTTAATATGGAACTAAACAATGTCCACCATGACTGTTTATTGTTGCTTCTTGTTTGCTTATTTTCTTGGATATGAATCACAGAGATAGAGGAATAAAGTCCAACCATATACTTGATTGCAAAGAACACATTCTAAAGTCAGGATGCTCTAAAGCCTTAGTTTTTCTCATAAACTTCTCTTGGAACTTTTGCAACTCATGTTCCTGCCTAGGAAAACAAATTTCCTATTCACTAGTTTGAACACATCTAAGATTCCGAAATTTTTAGTGAGTAGGTATTCACTACCCTTTATCAGAAGTTCCCTTATCACCCTTTTGAAAAATTTTTTAATGTTTTATTTCTGAAAGAGAGAGGCAACGTGAGCAGGGGAAGGTTAGAGAGAGAGGGAGATACAGAATGTGAAGCAGGCTCCAGGCTCTGAGCTAGCTGTCAGCACAGAGCCCGACTCAGGACTCGAACCCATGAACTGTGAGATCATTACCTGAGCCAAAGTTGGACGCTTAACAGACTGAGTCATCCAGGTGCCCCCCCTTATCACCCTTGAACATAATTTTTTATTTAATGCCAAAATAAAAAGTATGTTAATATCTATATAAATATTTTTTAAAAACACACTCTTAAAAAATGTAACTATAGTATAATTAATATACAGTTATATTAGACTCAGGTGTACACTATAGTGATTCAACAATTCTATACATGACTCAGTGCTCATGACAGTAAGTATACTATTTTAATCCCCTTCACCTATTTTACCCACCCCACACCCCCTTCCTCTACATAATCAACAGTTGGGTGTCTATATTTAAGGGTCTGGTTTTTTGGGATGCCTGGTGGCTCAGTCAGTTAAGTGTCTGACTCTTGATTTCAGCTCAGGTCATGATCTCACCATTTGTGGGGTCGTGCCCCACATAGAGCTCTACACTGACACTGTGGAGCCTGTTTGGGATTCTCTTTCTCCGCCCCCCACCCCTCCCTAGTGCATACTCTCTCTCCCTCTCTCTCAAAGTAAATAATAAACATTAAAAAGAAAAGAGTCTGGTCCCTGCTTTTTTTCTTTGTTTTGTTTTAAAAAGCACACACTTGAACTCTTTAAAGTTATCTACATACCTTTTAAATTCAGTTGGCCAGAGTTTGCCTCAAGAAATAACAAATTTTCTGAAACTGTAACCTCCTGACCAATAAAATGATTAGAGAGCATATCCTTTTTCCTTTGTATTTCAATCTTTCCTTTAATATTCTACATATTTTAAAGAGACTCTATTTTATTTGAAACTCTATAGCAGTACATTTCATTTAAATAGTAAAACTGAAAAAAATGTTGAGAATAAAAATAGAGGAAATGTACACATTATCTTATATGTTCTTGTGTCCTTGTAAACATTTCACATTCTTTTTAATTTTGGATTCCAAAATAAATTTGTCCATGCACCTCCACATTCAAATGAGAAGATGGATGAAGGGCAAAAAGATTCAGATCCAAAGAAGCAGGACAGTAAAATAAGCTGTTAAAAATTAGTGCAGCATGATAGGCAGGAAACAATTAGGGCACTGCTATTCAGAGATAGGGAGAAGTAGAGGGCAAGGAATCACGTAATATGACAAGTGAAGAATGAGCTGGGTCTTTATGTTATAAAGGAGGAAGATGGAGCATTTGGATACAGAAGGAAAATTAAATGAACATCTGCTGCCTCAAAATAAAGTGTCAACACCCCAAAGGTGAGATATGAAACTAAACAGGGAAAGCAGTAGTTAAAGGGCTCCAGATTGTTTATGAGAAATTTAAAGAGATTCTATGAAGATGAAAGAGATTTATCTGTTCCTTTAAAAGTAGACATATTTTGTCTTTGGGTGTTTCCTTCTTCAATATGTATCTAATATACTAATTTATTTTGTAAAGTTGTAATGGATTTAAAAACTTCCAGTATAGTGTGCACAATGGCTTTCGTTTTTAAAGACCATAAATGAAATAAGCCCAGTTCTATTTTACATAAGTATTATTTAAAAAGAATTTCACAAAGGGGTTCCTGGGTGGCTCATTTGGTTAAGCATCAATCTTCAGCTCAGGTCATGATCTTGTGGTTCGTGGGTTTGAGCCCCAACTTGGGCTCTGTGCTGACAGCTCAGAGCCTAGAGCCTGATTTGGATTCTGTGCCCCACCCCCTTTGCCCCTCCCCCATTCATGCTCTTCCTCTCTCTCAAAATAAACATAAAACAATTAATTTAAAAATAAATAAATAAATAAAAGGAATTTCACATAGTGTCTTATATGGCTGATTACTCTAAAACCTAAATAATCCATTGATATTCTGCCATATAATTAAATATTCAAATATTTACTGTATAATAGTACAAGATTTTTTCATACACTAAATAATATATAAGTTCCATAATTAATATTTGTATTATTCCAATTTTATTTCTGATTTGTTTTCCTAAAACTCATATTTCAAGATATAGTGACATAATTAAACAAGGAACAACCATCCCTTTCCCCAAATGTCAAGAAGAGAAGTAAGAATAAGAACAATAGCAACAAAAAAAAGAAGAGGCAGATGAACTAGACATTGTAGGATATTTTCTATCAGTAATTTCCATCTAAATGGTATGCACACTACATGAGAAACAGTAGCATGAAGGAATATACATTTTCTCAGTGTGAGACAAATATCATTTACCAAACTCTAACTGACTTTTATAGCTCTTACAAAGAAAACCAATAGAAGCCGGAAAATGTCATCTGATATCATATCCCATATGAGTACTGTGTGCCCTGAGTGCTATTATTTGCTTAGAAATAGCTTATGCCTGTATCTCTGTGAGCTAACCGATGATAGCAGTAAAGTAGTGCTTTTTTCACTAATTTAGAGAAGATGCAATTGCTTCACTAACTCCTAATGGTATTTTGAGAGAGTTTAACTGTGCAGACTGGCTCCAAATATTTAGACTCAATTACTCATGTGTAGAGAGGCACATTTTAAAAAAGAACTAATGACAATCACAAAGATATTATGCAGCTAAGACCAAAGAATAATTTACTATGATAAGAAAAAGAAAAGGAAATAACAAGGGGATTTTGTAGTGTCTCTGTGGAAATGGAAATTCACTCCTTTTTTGTTGTTCAAGGATAAGCCCAGAGGGAAACTTACCAGTATTATACTCTCAGATGAATCTATCAAATACATTTTGTAATTAGTGAAAGTAGGTTTGTTTTTAAAGTTTCTGGGCACACCTGGCTGGCTCAGTCAGTTGAGTTTCCAACTTTTGATTTCGGCTCACATCATGATCCCACTGTTGTGGGACTGAGCCCCATGTTGGGCTTCACATTGTGTGTGGAACCTCCTTAACATTTTCTCTCTCTCTTTCTCTATCTCTCTTTCCTTCTGCCCCTCTCCTACTCACATGCATGTGTGCACTCTCTCTCTAAAATAAAAAAAAAATTGAAAAATAAAAATGAAGTTTCTTAACTGCCATTTGTATCTATTGTTTAATGTAAGCCCTCCTTCCCACATCTGCAGGATTCATCTTTGTAACTCTTTCAAGGCCAAGGCCTCCCTTTCCATCCACTCACAACTTTGGCAAAATTTATTTTATTTATTTTTTAAGGCAGCTGTACACCTTTAATTAAAATTTATTTTTTTTCTTTTATTTATATAATGTTTATTTATTTATTTATTTATTTTTGAAAGAGAGGTGGAGATAGGATGAGAGTGAATGGGGGAGGTATAGAGAGAGAGGAGACAGAGAATCCCAAGCAGGCTTTGCACTGACAGTGAAGACATGGGGCTCAGTCCCAGAAACCATGAGATCATGCCCTGAGCCTAAATCAAGAGCAAGACACTCAATTGACTGAGCTACCCAACCACCCAGTAAAATCTATTTTAATCCAGTATTAATCACCCATCAGATGATCAAATATCTTAAGACAGTACCAACATTACTTAACAGTTTGTAATCATTGGAGAATTATGGTGTTCGTTCTATACTTAAAACTCCCCACAAAACTTCTAAATAGAAGTTAAGTCTATTGGAGGTAAATGTAGACAATATTATCATGAATCACCAAACTGATATGTACAAGAAAGCATGGAGATTGAACTGTAAGAAAATTAATTCTATTTTTTTCTAGAACTTGAAATGCATTTTAAATCAGATATTCATTCTGTTTACTATTTATGATCAGTCATATGCAGATTATGGATACCAAATGACAATGTAAAATTTCCCTTAAAAAGGAACTGTCACAAAGATAAATAAGCACTTACATTTCTTTGGTGGCTAAATTTCATGCAGTCTCTCCTAAGAATATTTATGTTTTTATGTCCCAGAAGCTGGCTATATTCTGAACAAACCCACCTGTTCCTTACCGGATTCCTAGGCTCGGCTCGATAGTCCTTTCCCTAACAAGAAGCTATACTCCATCTCTTGTTTTGATTAAGATTTCACATTTGTTGTAATGATCAGGAGCACATATTCCTTCTTTGTCCTGAACTAGGTATCAAAGAATAGATTAAGCAAATTTATAATATTCCTGAATTTGCTCTCAATTCAGAATCACTACTTTGGGCAATAAAGACCTTTGGTGTTGCTCTCAAGAAAATAGACACAGTGACGTGGATCTTCAAGAAAGAAGTATCACCTTCATCTTTGGTGTCTAATGCTTTAATGATCTCTGGGTTGGGATTTAAGGTCTGATGTCATTCATACATTGCTTGTTCAATTAAGAAAACTATTTTAGTGCCTACTATGCGCTAAACACATTCAAGGAGCCAGAAATAATAACACCCAACTTTACTGGGTGCTTACTATATGCACTGAACTAAAAGATTGGCAGCCATTTGTTATAGCTTGTGAAATCATATGAGGTATGTGCTAATTTCAGGCCCACTGTACAGGAAAGCAAACTGAGAGTTTAAAAAGTTAAATAACTTAAGTAGGGTTACACAGCTTATCAAGGACATAGCACAATTTGAATTCAGTCAGAACTCCAGAGACTATACTAAAATTTAATGTTTCTGATGTAAGAATTCTCATAATATAGTAGCAGAAGTCAAGAATTAAACAACTAGTTGCAACATAATCAGACATAGAACTCTGTATATATTGTCGTGAAGAGATATGGAAGGCACAACAGCACATTCAGAGGGAAAACAGTTTTGGATTACTTACCTTAATTCATCATCATGTTGCTTCCAGTGACTTTAAGTAGTTCTCATACAAGATAATAAATTGAAAGTGTTCAGCGTACCCTTTAAGGTATATATGTGAAGTGATGTTTGTTTGCTTGTTTTCCATTTCTATCTATATTCATGCCTGGCATTTTGTACCACATAATCATTTTCTTTTTATAACAGGGTAAAGGAATTTGATGTTATTTATTAATTAATATTGATTAAATAAAATTAACTTCTTCCAGGTATCTTTGATTTAAAATGTGTAATTATTATGAAACTAAGACAGAAGTCCTATTAAATTCTCTCCCGTCTCCCCCCCTGCCCCCCTGTCGACTTCTCTTGGTTGTATCTGCCTTCAAGTATTTGTCCATTTTTTTTAAACAAAAACAGTTTATAATAATCTATTTTACCTTTCTAAATTTCTTTTTTGTGCTCAACTTCTGCGTCAGCACTCTAGTGAAGCTGTTCATGTATCTATCCATCACCACTGACCTTCTTGTTTTGAAGAACAATGATACTAAGACTTCTCACCTTACAGACTTTCTCAGAAGCATTAAAAACATTAAACAGCCCTTTCTTCTTCAGATCTTAACTTCTCTGGCCTTCTGTGATACTTTTTGACTCCTGGTGTTCGATCTGCCTTACTGTAATGTCCTTCTGAATTCAATTTTTTTGGTTCTATTTCTTTTCTTAACTTCTATATATAGTCTGCCTCAGAGATTAATTGATCCTAGACTCCTTTTTATTTTTTTCTTTTTCTTTCTCTTTCTTTCTTTCTTTCTTTCTTTCTTTCTTTCTTTCTTTCTTTCTTTCTTTCTTTTTGTAATTTTACATTTATACTCTGTATCCTGGTAATCTCATCCTGGATATAAATATGGATCCTTCTATCTGTATGTCTCTAACTGATACATAGGTCTATAGCCCTAAATGGTCCCCTGAATTTTAGAGTCATCTGTACACATTCTCCTGATTAATTCAACCAGCCATTCATTCATCATATCAATCTTTCAGCAATTTATTTTTATCTTTAAATCACTTTTATAAATGCAGAAATTTTAATTTTGAACCAGCCAGAAAAGATCTCACATATATGCTGTTATTTTTTTTCTGAAATATTTTTTAGGGAATAAAACTTCTTTTTGATTCTTAGGACATTTTACTATAATATGAAACTTCAGGCATTAAAGCATACTAGACTCTCTGAAGGGCACTTCTAATTCAATGTTGCTGTATTCTTCTTTTATGAAACTGTTTAAAATATAAATGATAATTTAATTATTATTTTACTCAAAGATACTTCTTTGTAGGATGTATTTTATGGTTTGTGTACCGAAAGTATGTATATTGTTGCTAATGCTAATTATTGCTAATTTATAACATATAAAACATATGTATTAATGCTACATAATATGTATATTATGCTATATAATGCATGTCATGCTATATATTATACTAATATACATACTAGCTGTTATATTTATTTTGCTCCAGATACAGAAAATAATTCAGTTAAAGTAAGATTGATAAGTAATTGATGTTTACATTTCATGTATTTCACATACTGCAAAGCAATGCACAGAGCAACAATAATTTTATCTTCATTGAGCATACAATACAAAATCTTCCTGTCAACACTGGTAGATAAAAAAGAAAGGAAAGCGCCATACCAACACACAGGTTAAGCACAAACATGAATGGAATACTACATTAATAGATATACACATAATATCTGTGTACATGCTCAAGCTTGGAAACTTAGCATTTGAAAGGTGAGGGGTCCAGAGGAATTTGCTGTTAAAATGATAGCCCCAAACGTTATCTGTATGTTGTGTTTTGGTATCTTTCTGAGTGTATTCAAGTAAGTAAATTTAATAAATAAATAGTTACTAACAACTTTTAACCTTCACATGCTTTTTAGCTTTCAATCATTCTTAAAAACACATTTCAGTGCTTACTATCCCATACAGCATCTATCTAGTCTACTTTAGTCACCATCAAATCTGCAAAACTTTTATCATTTTAATATTTAGCTATAATACCCCATGATAAATGAGATCAAATCCTACTATTATATATCTTATACTTTTATCCCCTGCATATCTACTGATAATCAGTTCACACATTCATATTTACTCAGTGACAATGAAACAGCTCCCTTTTCAATTGATAAAATGAGTACCAAAAGAAGGAACATTTGATTTCAGCTCTCTCTTGAGAGTTTAGTACACAAAGGATCTGTGTCTGCTTGAGTATCCAGACTTGAGAGCAACTTTTCTCAGTCCTGATACTGCATGGAGAAACTTTAAAAATATGTTTATGCATAAGCAGCCCTAGAGATTCTGATTTAATTGGTTTAGGAGTAAGAAGTGTTTTTTTCTTAAATATACATTTTAAAATCCATATTATTTCAAAGTTTCAAAAATATTTCAAATAACAGCTATATTTAGGGAATCACTGATCCAAGTATGCATCAAGATACTGATGGGAAATAGACAGAACATTTAATAGCAGAGATCTTTTAACAGAGATGTGGGCAGAGTTCAGGAAATCAAAACTGATGGGATCAGCAACATCAGGAAATTGTTAGTCCCTCAAGTAGGTCAGAGAAAAGGGAGGGAGCGGTATTAATACTGCCTGACAAGGACTGTAGCCAGGAGAGAGCTTTCAAGAAAGAAACTTTGGCCATGAGTAAAGAAAACAGCCACATCAAACAGTAAGACCATGTTGGGAGGAAAGACATGGCATATAGGTAAAGAGGGATTGGTATAAGGCTTTTCCTCTCCCTTTATCTGCTTTGTAATCTCTGCCCAGTACTTCCCTTCAGTAGAATCTACCTATAAACCCAAGGGCAAGCAAACTTAAGAATCAGGTCTGAGCAGTTAGTTGGAAACAGACTAGCCTGTGATTATGGAAACTAATGAGCACTTTAAAGACTCCTCAATTCAACTTTTAATTTAATCTTTCTTTTTTCTAGTCATAATTTTATATTGGCGTTATACCTTTTTCTTTCCTGTATTCAAGTTTGCATACAATATGCTCTCTTTTTATACAAGACAGATATATATATGAATATATAAAGATATATATATGTATAAAGTCAAATTTTGAAGCATTTACTTATTTAAAAAATTACTACAGTAATTATCTGAAATCAAAACTGAAAACAGGAGAGTTATAAATTCTGTGATTATCCGATAAGTAAGAGCCTTAAAGTTCTAGACACTTCACACATTGGTGCTGAAAGTGGTGATCAGATTCACACTTTTTTAAAATGTTTTTATACAAAAATATTATATACAAAAATATTTTATACAAAAATGGTAATAATTAACAATAAAACCCTTTCATATTGGGGCACCTAGGTAACTCAATCAGTTAAGCATCTGACTCTTGATTTTGGTGCAAATCAGATCTCATGGTTCATGGTTTGACCCTTAGGTTGGGCTCTGCATTGACAGTATGGAGCCTGCTTGGAATTCTCTGTCTCTTCCTCTCTGCCCCTCCCTCACTCTCTCTCACTCTCTCTGTCTCTCTCAAAATAAATAAGCTTTAAAATATTTTAAATAAAATAAAACCCTTTCACATTATTTATGTGATCCCCCTAAACAGTTCTGTGAGCTTTAAAATCACTTACATTCCAATGAAAAATGAGAAATCTAAAATAAAGAATTATTAGTCACTTGACGTGTGTTTACACTATTGGTGAGGTTTAGCTTATATGATTTAATAATTATGTATGATTTTGCATTCATTCCAGATAGCACAAGCTGATATTTTTCTTCAGAGCACCATATAATTGATGAGGAATTCAACTCTCCCGAGGAATTCTCAACAAATGGCCAATTTAATAAAATAATTTATACTGATTGCCTGTGGGCAAGATACTATGTGATAGTGATGATGCAAAAACAAACAACTTTCAGATAAAAGATTCAGAAAAATAAAAAGATAACTATTTCTTTGTCTCCAGCTCTGGTCTCAAAATTTTGAGCTGTTCAGACCCATTTAAAAACAAAACAAAATAAAACCTTCGTATTGCTAAAAACTTCAGGGCTCCCAGAATTTCTTGCAAATGGCCATTTTTTCTCTATTTCCACAGGTATTCTGTCTTTAAGTTTCTAGTTAGGTTCCATGTTGGGGCTTTTCATCTCTTTTGTCATCTAGTGCCATTAGATGCCATTCTATGCTAACAGAAAAAAATGCATAAATCTTTTGGACCAACTATTCTCTTTCCACCTGCTGTCCCCTGCTGACCTGCAAATTCCATATTTCTTTATTACTTTCCATCTTGGCTGTTATTTCAGCCATGGTGGCCATTTTATTATTCCTCAAATACATCTGGTACACTCAAGCCTCAGGACCTACGCACTGCTTTTATTTAATTGAAATGACTTTTGCTCATATAACCAAATGGCTTATTGTGTCATCTTCACAGGGATTATCACATTCTCAGCAAAATCTGCTCTGGGTACAGTGATTACAACCCATCTTCTTGGCCAGCATGCTTGACCCACTCACCTTATCTCTTTATTTATCTCATAAAAGGTATCATAACAATGATATATTTTATTCCTTGTAGTATTTTTATTATATATCTCTCTTCATTATAATAATCCCATGAGTGTAGGGATCATTGTCCTCCAATGTTGGTTCACTGTTGTAGCTCAGAACTTAGTTCATTAGAGGCACTATAAATGTTTGATGAATGAAGTAGACATACTCACCATGATAGCAAAATGTTTTCACATCTACTACAATTGATTTGGAAATAAAAGATAGCAATTTTTGTAACTGATTTCTAATTGAAAGCTAAAAATCATAATAGGTATTAAAACTTGTGGGATGCAGCTGAAACATATGAAGTTTTATAACCTTAAATACTCAATTTTAAAAGAAGAAAGGATAAAGATTACTAGCTAAACATATGAGTTACAAAGTTCAAATGACTAAGGCAGAATATGGTAACAGAAACTGGAAAGGAGTGGAGAAACAGGCACCCTCCTACACTGTTGGTGGGAATGTAAACTGGTGCAGCCCCTCTGGAAAACAGTGTGGAGGTTCCTCAAAAAATTAACAATAGAACTCCTCTATCACCCAGCAATAGCACTGCTAGGAATTTACCCAAGGGATACAGGAGTGCTGATGCATAGGGGCACATGTACCCCAATGTTCATGACAGCACTCTCAACAATAGCCAAATCATGGAAAGAACCTAAATGTCCATCAACTGATGCATGGATCAAGATATGATTTATCTATACAAAGGAATACTACATGGCAATGAAAAAGAATGAAATCAAGCCATGTGTAGCAACATGGATGGAACTCAAGGGTGTTATGCTGAGCAAACTTAGGCAGAGAAGGACAGCTACCACGTTTGCACGTATAGGTGGGTTAGGAGGAACTTAACGGAGGACCATGAGGGAGGAGAAGGGAAAACATAGTGGGGGAGGGGGAGGGAGGCAAACCATGAGAGACTCTTGAATACTGACAACAAACTGAAGGCTTATGGAGGTGGGGGAGTGGAGAAGGGGGATGATGGGCATGGAGGAGGGCACTTGTGGGGATGAGCACTGGGTGTTATATGGAAATCAACTTGACAATAAACTATTTAAGGAAAAATGTGGAAAGGAAAGAAAATAATAAAAATTAAGTGAAAATTCAGTTATTTTATAAAATGATTTATAGTGGCAAACCCCTGTCAAAGCAATTAAAGGAAAGAAAACAGATATACAACTTTTATGAACAAAATAGGGGATATGACTACAGATGCTACCAAACCTAAATAGAAAAGTAAATATTATGAGAAATTATATATGCAATACATTTTATTTTATTATGTAATGTTTATTCACTTTTGAGAGAGAAAGTGAGCAGGAGACAGAGACAGAGCATGAGTGGAGGAGAGGCAGAGAGAGAGAGGAAAAAAAAAATCTGAAGCAGTCTCCAGTCTCTAACTGTCAACACAGAGCCGAACATGGGGCTTGAACTCATGAACTGTGTGAGATCATGACCTGAGCCAAAATAGGATGCTCAACTGACTGAGCCACCCAGGTGCCCCTAAGCAATAAATTTTAAAATGTAAGTAAAATAGATGGAGAAATTACTAATATTATAATTTAATAAACTAATTCAAGAAAAATTTTAGCATCTGAACAACCTTATAATATCAATAGAATTAGTATTTAAATCTCTCTATTAAAAAATACCATGGTTCCAGAAGCATATCTCATCAAATATTTAAGGAATTGCTAAGTCTGGTTGTACATAAACTCTTACAAAGGTAAACAATGTATCTCCTCAAGTTACTTTATGAGTGTAGCATGTCTAGTATCAAAACCATTAAAGGACATTATGGAAAAGAAATATTTAAAGTTAAATGTACTGAAACACAGATGTTCAAATCCTGAACAAGCTTTTTAACCAAAATAACAATACAAAAAAAGATAGTATATCTTAAACACATAGATCTTCTCCTAGTATGTAATAGTATTTCAATACTAGAAAATCTGTTACTATAGTCACTACATTATCGTTAATTTTATTACATAAGATTAAAATTTTTGATAAAATTCAACAGCCTATCATAATAGCAATTATTAACAAACAAAAATTATTCAAATAAAGTTTATCTATAAAACCCCTACAAAATAGCATACTTAAAGGAAATGTCCAAAGCACATTTTTGAGACTTCAAAAAGATAATGATTCAATAAATCAGCACCTATATTTATGTTTTGGCTCAAGTTTTGGCCAGTACATCTTAATAATAGAACTAAAAAACTGTTAATAATTGAAAAGATAATAAGTATATACTCATTATTTGCATTTGCTAAAACTACATAAAAATTAAAAAGAAAAACCTTTAAAAAACTGGAACTAATCAGGATGCTTAGTGTATTGCTGGATACAAAATCTATAATCAAATATAGATTGAGGAGGGGCACTTGGCTCACTCAGTAGATTGAACATCCTACTTTGGCTCAGGTCATGAAATTACAGTTTGAGCTCAGACCCCACACTGGGCTCACTGCTGTCACCACAGAGCCACCTTCAAATCCTGTGTCCCCCTCTCTCTTCCCCTCCTCACTCACATGCTCTCAAAAATAATAAATTATTTTTTTTATTTATTTTTTAAACAATTTTTATAGTTTTCATTTATTTTTGAGACAGAGAGAGACAGAGCATGAGTGGGGAAGGGGCAGAGAGAGAGGGAGACACAGAATCCGAAACAGCTTTCAGGCTCTGAGCTGCCAGCACAGCACCCAATTCAGGGCTCAAACCCACGAACCTGAGCCGAAGTTGGACGCTTAACCGACTGAGCCACCCAGGCGCCCCTAAATTATTTTTAAGTAGATTAAGTAGATTTGCAATACTATATGCTAGTAACAGTAAGTAAAGTTTACAAAATACCATTTGAGAAACAATTAGTAAGTTTATAAAATACTTTATAAATAAATATTTATAAATAAATATTTAAAAAACATATTTAGCTAGACATATACCTACCTACACTATATAAATGTGTATATGTAAATATACATTATATAAGTGTATATCTCCTAACCCTAGAAAAAATGGAACTAAATATGTATAAAAAATTGTCACTCAATATATGTAAAATGATTATGGAAAACATGGTCATTAAAACTAATACAAATGCAGAAATATACCATTTCTGTATTAGAAGTTTCAATATCATTAAATGTCTGTTCTGTGAAAACACTCTTTAGATCATTGCAATTTCACATAGAAACACAACAGGAATTATTAATTAGATAAGAATTTAAAGCTTATCCAGAAAAACAAAATCAAGAATATATATATATATTTTTTATTTCTAAGCGAGAGAGAGAGAGACAGTGTGAACAGGGGAGGGTCAGAGAGAGAGGGAGTCACAGACTGAAAGAGGCCCAAGGCTCTGAGCTGGCAGTCAGCACAGAGCCCGACGCGGGCCTCGAACCCACGAACCGCGAGATCATGACCTAAGCGAAAGTCGGACGCTTAACCGACTAAGCCACCCAGGCGCCCCTCAAGAATATTTTTTGGCAAGCTCCTAAAGAAGATGGCTAGACTTTCCTTGAGGATATTAAAACTCATTATAAAGAATTAGTAGTGAAGACTGTATGGGTCTTTTTCTAGGATCAACAAATAGAAAAATAAAACATAATAAATATTCCAGAATCATTCCCTGGTCCTGGTATATATGGGAACTTGAATTGTGAAAGAAGTTACCCCAGGTCCTGGGGTAAGCTAAGTATTTCAATAAACGATTCTAGGACAAGTACTTAACAATATGAAAAAAGAAAAAAATGAAATTGAAAGCCTACATCATACCACCATATTCAAAAATCAATTCCAGGAGGATTAAAGTCTTAAGTATAAAATTCAAATCTATAAAACATTTGGAAGGTAATGTGTAGGAATGTCTTTATGATTGTAGAGTAGGGAAGAATTTCTTCAACTAGACACAGTGCAAATGATGAAAGAAACAATTGCTTTATTAAAATAAGACTTCATGCTGATCAAAAGCCAAGCAATTATCACTGGGAAATGGGTGAAAGTATCTGAACGTATTACTTTAAGGGATATCATGCAAAAATATGGGAAATAACTCTTTTAATGAACAATAATTTTCTTATAAACAAATGTAATAAACAATGTTTTAATAAACAAACACACAATGATTAATATGACATTTCACAAAAGAGAAAAAACATATTGTTCATTAATATTTGAAATTTCATTGAAACTTATACTTGCTGGAGTCCAGCTCCAGCCAGTCCAGGGGTCCCTAAAGGATGGATGGTGTCAACAAGAATGATGAGAGAGCCTCGAGATTCCTTCTAATCACCAGGCAGGCATCTTTGCTCAGTCTTGGTTCTCAACTTTATTTATAAGTGAAGGT